GAAGTCTTTAATTAAATGTCAATATTGGCAACGTGGACACAAATCACAGCGACATTCTTAAAATAAGTCATTTATCGGCTATGTGCCATCAGCACTCTTAACCTAACATTATTTTATGAATACGTGTTTCGAAAAATTTACACTTAAAGACTACGGGAACAACGCATGAACAAACGCAAATAAAGACTACACTGTAAAAAAAAAAAAAAAAAAATTAAAAAGTCAATATCACAGTCAACTTTATAACTCAACAAGAAACTGGCGATTCATCTAATTAATAAAACGCAATCTATTTCATTTTAGAATATCTGCCACATGAACTAAAGCATTGCTAATCCGCTTTATCCTTTTTTTCTTTTATTATTATGTTTCGTTTTCAGTATCTGCCTCTTAAAAGTAAGGGCAAACATTTATGTTAATAGTCAAATGTATTGAATGCAGAACTTGCAATACGATGCACATACCTCAACACACCATTCAAGTGAAAATACGAACTCTGATCTACATGACAGCTAACTGATAGTGAAATGCAGCAGCATAAATTAAGCTAGTAAACAATGATAATATTTTAATAATAATTACCACCTTTTTTTTGCACAATAATGTTCAATGTAAAACTGTTTGTTCAGATAACTTAATTTGAAAAGTTGGGAGAACATTTGGACACGTTGTGAACGAATACTTGAGTATCTACGTAAGGTATTTGCTGGCGACTTGTTTAGAGTATTCTTGTTCAGTTCACACAAAATTATAAACGGACTCCTACTGACTCACACTACATTTCTCAAGTTTTTTGTTTGTTCGTTTGTTTACAGTGTAGGCCCTACATATTCATTCGTTCGTTCACTCATTAGTTTGTTTAATTTATACGATAGCCTATTTCATTGTTTGTTTGTTACATTATCCATATATAGGGTACATAATTAATGTACAGTCCATAGACTAGCTGTGGTAAAACGGTGGTGTGATATTTTAAGTAGGCTATAACACCAGAGTAGGGAACACATATTCACTATTTACTAAAAGTTTTCCCTCATTAAACTCCTAATTTGCTGCTTATTGATAAGGTAGTTTTTTTTGTAGTAGTTTAGGTATTGGTAGGGTTAAGGGATCTAGAATATGGTCTTGCAGAGTGAGACATATGTGCTTTATACTATAGGTATAAACAGCTAATATGCTAGTAATATGCATGCTAATAAGCAACTGTAAATAGGTTTCCCTAATCTAAAGTGTTACCTTAATATCTGTCTTAATGAAGCTAAAATAAAAATACCAAAAACATTTGAATTTTGAAAATACTGTTAGCTGTTAATTTACACCTACAGCATAAGAACCTCCAGAAATTAAAGAAATTAAGAGATGCTTTATGTACCATCAAGCCTTACAGCTTTTTTAGAGATAGCCTATAAAAACTGTGCAATGTCACAACCAGTTTAAAGTCAAGCTACAGTTCACCAGCAGGAATCAAACAATGTGTTTTTAATGAAGGCCTTGGGGGACTCTGAAATTGACAGTGTTTGAATAATAGATACATGAAGTGTATGTGTTTACGTGAACATGAAGTTTGATTCACACTTAAACAGCTTGTCTTGCTTACCACGTTTCGAGACATTTCCCCCCAGTGCTCTACTTGGGAGGTGGAGTCAAACACTTTTTCCCCCTCAAAACAGTGCCCTTCTCTCCTTTAAAAAGCCCTGCCAAAAGAAACACAGCTAGGTTGAGTTTTTTTTGGCAGCCTGTTCACTACGAATCTAGTCACCATGAGTCTTTCTGCAAAGGACAAATTGGCGGTGAAGACCTTCTTCGGCAAACTTGCCCCTAAGGCGGAAGAGATTGGCAGTGAGGCTCTGGCCAGGTAGTTTGAACTGCAGTTTTTGCATAAATGAACGGACATGCATAACATAGGCTGCTATTATATCTCTTTTGTTTTGAATCGTTGCAGGACCCTGTTCGTCTACCCTCAGACGAAGACCTACTTCTCCCATTGGGCAGACCTGAGTCCCGGCTCACCTCAGGTGAAAAAACATGGGCTAACCATAGTGAATGGCGTCCTCAGCGCTGTCGAGCTGATGGATGATCTCAACGGGGGTCTGCTCACCCTCAGCGAGCTTCACGCCTTCATGCTTCGCGTGGACCCCGCTAACTTCAAGGTACGTTTTGCTGAAAATATTTTCATTTTAACTGTAATTAAATATAATCTGTATTAACAACCCTTTTTTTTGTCAGATCATCAATCACAATCTCCTCGTTGTGCTCTCAATGATGTTTCCTGACGACTTCACTCCTGAGGTGCATGTCTCTGTGGACAAGTTCCTCGCTCAGGTCAGCCTGGCTCTGTCCGAGAAGTACCGCTAAAGTCGACCCTGTCTGTATTCATCTCCGACGCGACACTGTATTCGCCTTAATGATGATGAAAGTAATAAAATGAAATCAAGCTATCATTTTCGTCTCTTTTTGTTTATACACACAAAAACACAACACAGATCTGATATGTAGGGTTGGTAGTGGTACACGTACTCGGGTTATAATTTGCCAAATTTAGCTATAATGTAGGCCTAGCTATAGTAACTTGGTACCATAACAAATACAACTGAATAGACCCAACGAGTTAACTCAAATATTTGAATCAATCAATCAATAAAATAAAATAAGCCAATATTTATGAGTAATGTGAACTTATTTGCTCTAAACTTTTGTAAAATGCTCCAAAAAGCACTGGTTTATATGAGAACTTCTTTTATTTTTGATTACTCTTTTAATACGATATTGCATAAGAACATCTTGGAATTCAAAAATTAAACGTTTAAAAGTAATTCAAGTGCAATCAGCCTGGTCTGTTATCCCGTTTCCAGTGTAATGGTGCTGGTTCTTGTGCCGGAGACGGGCTCGTGTTCGGCGGGGGAGCTGCAAACCTCAGAGCGCTGCCTTGACAGCTAAGAACGCTTCATTGATCATTACGCCTGCCTCTTTAGTTAATTTAGGATGTACTTAAAATAATAAACTTATTATGAATAAATATAATCATTTATTACCTTTACAGTTCAAACGTTTCCACACTGACATAGTCTGACTATATAGCCTATATATTTACATTTACATTTATTCATTTAGCAGACGCTTTTATCCAAAGCGACTTACAAAATTGTCAGGGATTCAGCTTTCCGGATAGGAGTGGGAAGTTCATATATACTGACATACTGTATGGCTATGCTATGTCTGACTATACTGACATAATGTATAATCTGTCGATGTATTCAATTTTCGTATTAATCGCATTTCTTAATATCACATTTTTTCACCTCATATTTTGTTCAAAACAATATTCTGTTAAAGTTTGAAAAACGTGGATTAAGAAAAGCATTATGCAATTAAAAAGTAAGTGACGACTACTTTGTAACAGTTTTAAATCTACTAACGTATTAGTAGTTATAGGTCCAATATTAACAAACAGACTGTGGTCCTCATTGAAATTAAGTAGGTTGGTTATAAACATAATGTCTGCATATTGATTTTTATGCATTTTAAACTTGGGAATTCAACAAACGTTACTGTTTCAGAAGTTAGTTGTGTTTTAGTAATAAGCTAAATACTGCCTGATCAGTAAATCTTTTTTTAAGAGCCAACCCCTTCATAAATGCATGCTGGAAGCATACTGTTACTGAAATGTAAAAAATTATAGTCAGTTTCCCCTCACTTTTGGCCATTGTCCATTCATTTAGATTCGACTGAAACATGATGTTCTTCCATTCGTTTACGAAATCAGCATCTTATTATTTATTTGAGTCGCATATTTGTTTTCATGACAAAACACTGATAACGTGTTGCATGTACCACCAGCACTCTTAACCCAAAAGACCTAGCAGCTCAAAACACGCTTAAAATATGTTGTATACAGTGTCGTATGTAATGACACACCTAATTATTTATGTATTTATTTGTTTGTTAGTTACACTTCACGAGTATAGGAATCAAAGAATGTCCTTCTTAATTAAAGCCTTGGAGGGCTCTCTGTCATTGTTCTGTCTCTAGAGTTTGAATAATAAATAGGCCTACATGTGTTTAAGTCTTATTATCCCATTTTAATTGTCGGTCAAGTAATTCTAATGAAAACTACCACATGAAAACTACCCTGCATTAACACTTGCAGACTAAATTCATCCAGTTTTTCAACAATGCTTTGATTTGTTCTTTAAATACATATACAGTTATGAATCGTTTATGGTGGGGTATTACAAACGAACTTTTATGTGCACATTACAGGTACACAACTAAGCATAATGAAGTTTTCACAAACAGTAAATAAACGCATCACGTGGAACATTTGAGTCGAGACCTTAGCATTATGACGTCTTGTTGCCCTTTTAGTGTTAAGGATGGGTGGGGAAAATAAGAAATACAAGCCACTGTGCCAAGACTGTAAGAGATTCAAGCTTTCTTATCTGGTTAACCATTCAAGATGCCTGACATAACACCTCTCTGCATCAGCCACTGACTTTTAACTGCACGCAAAATGCACATCTGGAACCGACCATCTGTCACCATATTTCCTCCGAACAGCAGGTAAGCATCAGGTTCTTTTTTTAATGACAGAAATAAAATGTATTATGTTTAACGATTTAGTCTGATTTATATGGTCTATCTGTTTAGGAGCTTAATGAAAATGAAAATGTTTATTATTATGGCAGCAGCTGAGAGTGCCTGATAGGATCGGACAGGTTGTATGTGGCGCTGTCCAGTGCTGAAACCAGAAAGTAGTCGCTAAAAGATTTTTCCAAGTAAAATATTTCCCTTTGTAAGACAGGTTTCCAAACCCAAACTGTTAATTTAAAATTCAGATGCCTATAATCAATAATAAGAGCATACTTCTAAGAATGAGGACAACAAAATTGCATGCGATGCAAACATCAGTAACAGAACAACAATCAGAATTGTTTATTGTTTTATTAATTGGAAGATGCACATACATATTTCTGTGCAGCTTTTCAAATCCAGATGTTCAGTTAATGGTACCGTTTTCCAAGTGCAGAGACTACTACTGCCAGAAACTTCTGCCATGCTGCTTGAATGTCTGGAGTGAAGGCACGACCGAGCTGGGAAGCCACAACAATGGTCACGCAATCACCGAGGAGCTTTGAGGAGAAAATTACAAGGTGATCAAAATTTCACATATACACTATAAAAAATATATATACGTTCTACAAGGATGCAATATGAACCATTTTGGGTTTCCAAAAAGCACTTTTCTGTCAACAGTTTATAAAGGAGCTGTTTTTTTTCGTAGTGTCAACATAGTATCGCGATCTCTCTCTCTCTCTCTCGCTCGCGCTCTCTCTCGCTCTCTCTCTCGCGCTCTCTCTCTCTAGCGCGCTTTCTCTCGCTCGCGCTCTCTCTCTCTCTCACACACACACACCATGCGCAAAACTCCGCATTCCCTTGGATTGCCCCCTCGGAGGCATCGCGTGCGTGCTCTTCGCCCAAACAAATAACGCATAGATCGTGTGTGTCTGTGGCTGTCGCCGGCCAACGAGTTGGTGTTTTTTCAATGTACGACGAGGTGTTCCCCATAGCGACCCCTAGAGGACTTTGGTTTTGAGACTTTAGTCTTTGCAACTTCAGGGATCTTATCTTTGCACAATCAGCTTGTAACACTCCAAAGAGAAAGGAAAACTTGAAATCGCATCATATGACCCCTTTAATCTAAAGAATCTTTTCCACTAAGAAGTTTTTGTGCAGGTGTGAGGTTAAAGGTGCTTAAAAGAACCATATGCATATAATAATAATAATTGTTTTTTAAAGGGATTGAATGTACTGAGATGCATGACATACTACAGAGTGTATAGCCTACTACATACTGCCTAGTGTAGCATGCAATTCCAAACGCACAGTTAGACAGTAGTTTGTGAATTTTCTAAAAGGCCATGCGAGTTATTATTTAACCCAGCCACTTTTTTGTTGGCCATAATGGTTGCGGTGTCACTCAAGGACCCAAAGGAGCCAAAATAGCGTTGAGTCCAAGGGTACACGATGAGACATCTGTGGAGGAACACGTGTAAATGTAAAAGAAGCCAACAAATTGCATTCAGATTAACAGATTGGACACACTCACTCACCTTGCCAAAGCCTGGGGCCCAATCATATCCACATTCATTTAGAATGTTAGAAAACCCCACACAGCTTTGATGGCTTTGCGCTCAGCGTCAGTCCACTCCATGATGAGTTAGCAGTTGATACTTTAATGCTGCGATGGCACTACTTGTTAGTGAGGTCGCGTTTATTTATATCAGGCACCCGCACATATAATCATGTAATCCTGCAAAACATATGTCATGAATTCTATTCAAATGACGTTAATCCAATCTGAAAATTAGCTTTTCACTTAGTAGGCCTACTTATCAGCGCTGAAACATGAGCAGCATTAATGTGCCAAAATTAACTTGGACTGAAACAGTGCTGATATCTCGATATCACCTATATCTGTTTCCCGTTCAACAGCGCAATGTGAGGCATAGCGGAGTATTCAGGAGATCTTCAAAACGGCACCTGCTGGTTATTTCATTTTAAGTTCATATTTTCAAATGTGCCCGAAGACCTTGATTGATTATTTCAGGTGTGTTGATTAGTTTTAACACAAAACTTATTCAGCTGGCCAAAATTATATTACTTTTCTACCCGATCTCATGAAAGTGCGTATCAATAGCAAGAGTTCATGTTTCGATTTGGCGTACTATTTACATGCAGAAATGGACTTTGGCGTGCATATGATACTCAATAGGTAGGATTAGGGTTGTGGGGTAGATGCGTATCACATATACACGAAAACATGCGTATCATATGCACGCCAACAAACTGCGTAACATACTAAACTGTGTTTTTTTAAATGTAAAAACTGCCAGATTTTTGAGTCCGGTCTCATGAAAATAGTACATTCTAAATATATAAATAGTACGTCAAATAAAAACAGAAAATCGTGGTATTGATACGCAAAAATTGACTTTGGCCTGCATATGATACGCACGTGTTTGGCGTGCATATAATATGCTGTTTTTGCGTGCATATGATGCCCAGTTTGTTGGCTTGCATATGATACGCAGTTTTCGCGTACATATGATACGCATCTACCCCGCAACCCTAATCCTACCCACTGCGTATCATATGCACGCCAAAGTCAATTTCTGCGTATAAACAGTATGCCAAATCGAAACAAACTGGTGCTATTGATATGCACTTTCATGAGATCGGGTTGGATTTATATGTAATAAAGGCAAGCAGAATGATTTCTAAAAGGGTAAAACGACCATTTGACAAATGTCAAATAAACATCCGCCCCACTGGTCATGTAAGGTAATCTGCGTAACTCGTGTTGAAATCATAAACTGACGACTCCAAATAGCTCTCTATTTTTATTTTTTGGTTTATGCGTTTATAGACAATTACTGAATAAAAAATATGCGCGTGGTCTACATTAATAAAGTAGGTCAAAACTTTCACAAAGGGTTCACAATTTTTTCCATTTATCTATTTTTAATTTATTATTATTATTATTATTATTATTGTGAGAATTGAGCATTGTACAAACAATAGTACATACGGGGGGAAACAATCTTAAACAATGGATCCTACACTCTCAGAAAAAAAGTAGACTTACAAAGTTGTCACTAGGGCGGTACCCATAAAGTACAAATGATAAAATGCATCTTTGTACCTCCAAATGGTGCATATTAGTACCTTAAAGCCAATTTTAGTACGTTAAAAGTGCGTATTAGTTGCTTTTGAAAGGGTACCACTCTAGTGACAGTTTTGTACTCTTCTGAGAGCTATTGCTTTCAAGTTTTATTTTGAAAAAATTGTTTCCAAATATCTCCCTGTTGCAAGATTTTCAAAAGATGTTGAACTGTGGCTTATCTACACTTAAGTGAGAGAGGCCGCACACAGTCAAGAATTCGTCTTTTGACAACAGGCCATTTCAAAGATAGCCTAACACATTTTCTCAGCAAGGCGTGGCAAGAATTATACAATGTTTAATTCACAAATAAGTACATTTGGAATATGACAAAACCAACCAATTCATATTACACAAAATACAAGAAAAGAAAGAAAGAAAGAAAGAAAGAAAGAAAGAAAGCTGTGGCTTATCTACACTTAAGTGAGAGAGGCCGCACACAGTCAAGAATTCGTCTTTTGACAACAGGCCATTTCAAAGATAGCCTAACACATTTTCTCAGCAAGGCGTGGCAAGAATTATACAATGTTTAATTCACAAATAAGTACATTTGGAATATGACAAAACCAACCAATTCATATTACACAAAATACAAGAAAAGAAAGAAAGAAAGAAAGAAAGAAAGAAAGAAAGAAAGAAATAAAAATATTAACAGATTAAGCGTGCTTTTACGAACAAAAAAAAGTTGTAGGCTACATATTTTGAATTGCTCATTATGTGGAAAGTTGTATTCTGTAGTTTTGCAGTAACATAACAAAACAAAATAAAATGCACAGTAGTATCGCCTTATGATATTCATTCAAGTTATAGATGGTTGATAATGAATTGCTAAATGATTGAATAAAAGTGTATTAAAAGAAGAAGAAGCAAGAAAGTCGTGAAAAAAAGTTAAACATTTTGGCACTCTTCCACGGTCTGATAAGTCATCGTTGGGGGTGAGAGGAGGGTCTTGGGTGTATCTTCCTGGTGATAGTATAAAACCGCCAGTCCTCTTGCCAGCAGACTACAGAAGTTTGCTGCAAAGTCATCCTTCCACGATGAGTCTCTCTGTCAAAGACAAAGCTGCCGTCAAAGACCTTTGGGCCAAGATCTCAGGAAAGGCTGATGACATTGGTCAAGATGCTCTTTCTAGGTAAGGTTATTAATCTAAGCTAGGTCATAATGTTTTCTTCGGGCATAGATCTGTCATTCAATTCACTGTGTCTGTCTAGGATGTTGGTGGTCTACCCCCAGACCAAAACCTATTTCTCTCACTGGAAAGACCTGAGCCCCGGCTCTGCCCCAGTGAGGAAGCACGGGAAGACCGTGATGAGCGGCGTTGCTGAGGCTGTCAGCAAAATCGATGACCTTACCTCTGGGCTCCTGAGCCTCAGCGAGCTTCATGCTTTCCAGCTGCGCGTTGACCCCGCCAATTTCAAGGTAAGTGCAACGAATTTCATCTTTAGTCAATTCCGATTCTTTCGTACTCTCGTAAAGTCACGGTAACTTATTTGTTTCCTGTGTTTTCATAGATTCTGTCCCACAACATCCTCGTGGTTCTGGCCATTATGTTCCCCAACGATTTCACCCCAGAGGCCCATGTTGCTATGGACAAGTTCCTCAGTGCTTTGGCTCTGGCTCTGGCCGAGAAGTACAGATAAATTCATGTTATTGTGAAGAAGTCGGACTGCGTCAGACCAGATAGATGCCTGTATAAACGTTATGTCTTATGATGCAATAAATGATTATAAAAAACATCAACTAAACATCTTTGGTGCATGTTTTTTTCTTCTTTCATAGACCTGTCAGTGTTTTAAAAACAGCTCTGTTGTCATAACGTGATGAAGGTATAGACCTAACTATTGCAAATGGTGAGACAAAATATTGCAACTGTTTCATTCATTATATGGAACTACCAGCCAATGAACATATGTTATTTTATCTGTTGAAACTCATTGTAGCAGTTTTACAACAAAAGTCTAAAGTCTGACGTACCAAAAATAAAAAAAATAAAAAAATAATAAAAAAAACCCTCAATCAATAAACTTGAACCTTTAAACAACAAAAAAAACATAATGCTTTAATAATTTCTCAAACTTAAGCATAGGCCTATAAGTGGAGGCAGAGGTGTAAAGCACTTGAGTATTTGAACATCATTAGTCTACTATATTTTGGAGGGTTTTATAATTGTTGCGATTTAAGTCCTTCAATGTACAAAGTGCAAAGTGCATATTTCACTAATCAGTAGCGGTTCTGGCTTATTTGGTGCCCTAGGCGAAAACAGACAATTCTCCCACCCCCACAAAAAAGCGACGATACAAAAGACGAAACAGTTTTACATGTTGATATGCTGTTATTAGGCTAGCCTATACAAGAACAACAAAATACTAAACAAAATACAACAAAATAATGCACTAAATAAAATAATTTAATAAATGCAGATTTACTATAAGCACTTAAATAACTATTTAACATTGTATTTAATAATAAAATAAGTAACTAGAGAATTGGTTGACTGAAATCAACTTTTCTTCCATTTTAGTGTGAATACTCTAACTCTGCACCTAAATTTGATAGCGCATCCATGGTTCTCGCAAGCACGAATCATTCCACTCACATCTCCTTCGCTCTTGCACAGAATTGGACGCGCGCTCTCAACATGTTCTCTTGACTCTGCTCTCGCAATATTGTTTGAACGCGCTGAACTTTGTCCTTGCACCAATGAAGACCAGAAGGGCTTTTTTAGTTTATTTGTTTATTATATATATATATATATATATATATATATATATATAATAAACAAATAAACTAAAAAAGCCCTTCTGGTCTTCATTGGTGCAAGGACAAAGTTCAGCGCGTTCAAACAATATTGCGAGAGCAGAGTCAAGAGAACATGTTGAGAGCGCGCGTCCAATTCTGTGCAAGAGCGAAGGAGATGTGAGTGGAATGATTCGTGCTTGCGAGAACCATGGATGCGCTATCACGCTACGATAATAAGCTGTCAACAATTTGTCATTAAAATAACACCATATAAAGTGTCTGAAATTAAGTTTAAAGAAGACAAGAAAGTAGTCTGAAAGCTGCGTGCGCGGGCGGTACCCCATGCCACCCCGCAGCGCGTTGCTGCCTGCAATGCGGCTGCCTAACATAAATCTATCCATTTATTTAAAAAAAAAAAAAATAAATAAAATCAAATAAATTTCAATGCAAAATATAATTAGTCACAGATATGGACGTCTTTAATCTAATAAAGTTGATTTTAATTATAACTCATAACCATCATTGAGAACATTATTTAATAAAAGTATTATTAATTATAAAATTATAACATTAATTTTAGTCCGAATGTGAACATGGTCGACCGTCAGAACTATTAGTATTTACATCGAATATCAAAAAATCCACTGTTGCTAAATTTGATATTCACATACTCAAATTAATTTACTATA